CGAAAAGGTGGGATTGCTTTGAGCAGAAAAAGATAAAAGAGAGATTATTAGTTTCTAATTTTTCAATAATAAACTGGAACAAAAAAATCCATCTAACCACATCCTGGAAGCCCTGTCCCTAGCTACCCTACCCCTTCTTTGCCCCGCCTTTCTTATCCCTGGATCCCCACCAAGAAAATCTCCACAGCATATTGCCAATCGAAATCCCATAAAACCCTAACTGTTTCCTCTACCATTTTATGGGTTCACTTTGGATTTTGGCTTTCATTTTTTTTACTTTATTTAGCTAAAATTTATCTTTTATTTCTTGCTCTTCCATGTGATTTTCTTCAACTACATGCAAATCATGGAAGATAATGTGTTAAGCTTTGGTGAGGCTCATTGATGCAATTTTGTCAATAGATTTATCCAACAGTCCAATGAGCTTGGTAAGATAGTAACAAATTTGATATTGGTAAGTGTCACATTTAATTTTTCGCTAACTATGATGGCGTTAGATTCACTAACCAGCCAAACTTCTCACACTTACTTTTATGAGAACGCACTATATAGAAAAAATAGAACACTTTAGGATTTCTCACAAGGCATACTTTTATTAATATCATAAGTAATGTATTTACACAATAGTTTCTGGATGCCTTGGACAAGCCCCCAAGGTCATCTATTTATAGGCAAAGGAGGACAACCCCCTCCAATGCGAATAGACACTTATCATGCATGTGTTCCAAGTGGCACCCATGCACTAACTAATCATTAATACAAGTCAGCAATCCAAACCCAAACATAATGGATCACCACCATTATATTTCGTGTCTCTTTGCTTTGCCTTGATCCACATACCGTCATCCTAATGTGAAGGGTTGCATCGCTTCAAAAGAGTGTCCATCCCATAGGCCACGTAACGGTTCACTAATTGTCGTCTTGCACCAACCAACGCCTCTATCCAAAGCACCCCTTCGCCCAGATACCCCTTCGCATCAGATGCCACTTCGCACATTGGTGCTGATCCGCACCAAGCAACATAACGCTTCGCATTGCATCGCACCAATGCGCTGCTCTGCTAGCACCATGTCAACGACCAAGCAACGCGTCACTTCGCTGCACCGCACCACGGCCAAGCATCACGTTGCTTCGGTGTCCCGTGCCATAGCCCATGCGTCACATCGCTTCGAAGCAACGCAACTTCTCCAAGCATTGCGTCACTCTAATGCTCCATATCGTAGCCTAACCGACGCATTGCTTCGCACCCAAGGTTAAGCACGCACCAGAAAAGGCTCGCCACGAGCCTTCGCTCAAAACCCCAAGTCATTAAGCCCACTTATGTAATCAAGACAACCTTGTGCTTAAGGTCTAGGTATCCCACGCCACACTAGGACCATGCATCATGGCCTTAGCCAATGATGCACCCATGGCCGCACCAAGCCATGAGTAACACTGCTCCCCCTAAAGAGCTTTTTATTGACATAGGCTTGAAATACTAGTGAACACGCCAATGACAGTAACACAATAATAGGTTGTTGACCCCAACCCTTGGATCTACGCCCATCCAATAGACCTTAGCTTACTCAAGCTACTTATAGAGGCAACCATGCCCTTATTTACTTTATCAACCACTCTATAGGGTCGTATAGTACTATGTACAAGGCCTAGCACCATAGCCAAGCCGTAGTGTGCCTTTGTCTAGGCACACCATGCCGCGCATGGCTCAATAGGGGTCTTAGAGTAAGATAGTTACAAATTTTATGTCAATTAAGGAATCACACAAGCAGCTCAGGTGGGAGAGGGGGTTTTTGGGGTGAGGGTGGTTGTCTAAGTGGGAGGGGTGGGGTTTGGGGTTGTTTAGGCGGCAGGGGGTGGAGGTGAGGTTGCAATTCAGGTGGCAAGGGTTTATGGGGTGGTGGTTATGGTGGTTGCTATAAGATGGGAGGAGAGGGAATTTAGAATTTTCACAAAAAAAATTATAATAAAAAAAATACGATTTAATAGATTGTAGGTCAAATTGCCTGTTTAAAGAAGATGGTAGTCAAAGGTGAGATTATTTCTAGAATAATAAATGAAGTTGAGATTGTTTTTAGAAGATCATACAAAGGTGTGATTATTCTTTCCCATTTTTCTTAAATAGAATAATGATGGAGAAGAAGAAACGGTGAAACTATAAATAAAGAAATGTAAATATGTGATTGGGTAACTGTATTGGTGAAAAAGAAGTATAGTCGAAAACGTAGAGGATAACATGAGTGAGAAAAAGGATAACAAGAAGTGGATCATGAATGTGCTTTCAAATGAATATGTGCGCGACCCATTGTGTGAACGGATTTATGGTGAGTTTGTTCTACACAATACTTTTTAATTAGATAAACATAAGAACTATTGTAAAAACAACATCCATATCAAATTAAAAAAGCAAGTAATGATATTTAATTAGACTATTTCTTTTTCATTGCTTTATGTGTCTAATTAATCTTTCAAATCATATACTCATTTAATCCCTGAAAATTCTACTGGCTTTGTTGATGACTCTTGTTTTTAATAATGGAAAAATAAATGAGTGCATATAAGAAGAATAAAGTAAGAAAGATGGAAAAGAAGGCCCAATTCTACAATAATCGTCTTTAAAATGACTACCACTATACTTAATTTTCATTGGTAGAGTTTTTATTTATTTTTTTTGTTAGTCAAACTTCTTAAAAATGATTTTTCTTTTTAAAAAATTCATTTTTTTTTACAAAAATAATTTGTTCTTTCAAAATTATGTTTTTGAAGGAAATTCAAAATTGATGTTATAAAAGTTCCTAAATATTTTTGGAAGAGAAAAAAATTTGTAGAAAGTTTGACCAACAAAAAATCAAAAATTGGCTAATGAAATTTAAAATAGTGGTAGTCGTTTTAAGGATAAAACAAGGATAAAGAAAAAAAATGGATTTAGGAATGGATGGTGTATATATCTCACTGTTTTTGTATATCTATTTTTTTAAAGTATATAATAATTTTTTTTATTTTTTCTATCCTCGTTTTAATACCTCTATACAAGCCCAACCTCATATAAGGTGCTACTTTGCAAAAACGAATTAGAAGCAGGAAAACCCGTTTTAAAAAGTGAAATATAACAAAGTTTCCAAATAATTATATTGGAGAAAATCCAATTTTTATCTGTGAAAAACATGGTAAATTTATCTAAGGGCAAAAACGTCATTTCAGATTATAAATAAGGGTCTTTTGGTATTTTAGGACAATTTACTCTATTGAGAGGTTGAAAATGGAAAAGCTTCAAAACAGCTCCATGGAAGTCGGACAACTTGTGTTTTTCACGAGCTCAGTCAATGGTATGTAAACTTCAATAGAGAAGGAAAATTACACAACCAAACAACAATCACCTACCCTTTAGGGTTAACCATTCCCTAAATTCTATATTTTTACTTAGGGCTTTTGTTAGATTTGGCGGCAAAGCCGCCGAAAATGGTGATGTCAAGGTTTGTTGGTCTCCATTGAAGTAGCTTTAAGAAGAAGATGAAGTGATTAGCTGTGTCGGAAATAAACAAAGGTGGAAGAGACCATGGAGGTGGGTAGTGAGCAAGAAGATGATGATTCTTTTTTTCCTTTTTTTTTATTTATTATTTAAGATGTAAAAATATTTATAATTTTGCCACCAAGATAAATGAATTTATTTATCTTGCATATAAATATCTGGGATCCCTCATTAAGTCATTATATTGGCTACAATATTTTTGTAGCGATTGATAAATAACCCAGTAAAATGCAAAATCTACATTTCTCCTAAGAAGCCTAGTTTAACCTTTCAAATTTTGTTTATTGAATGGCTAAATCGTAAATAAATTAAAAATTTGTGTGGTGAGCATGATAATTTTGTAATTAAATAAACTATAGATCCCATATTTGACACAAAGTTGTTTTATCTATATTTTTTCCATTTGATAAATATAACTAGTTTAATGCGCGGCGATGTCTTGGATTTTGTTTACAAGAAATGAATTACCTTAAGTTTTAATAATATGTTGAAAAAATTATTTTAAGTTTAAATAAAAAGTAGAAAAAAAAATCGAAAGAGAGATGTAGTAGTATATGTTTTACAATTAAGTAGGGAATTACATTGCTTAAAAAAAAGTAGGGAACTGCATAATAATTTTATAGAGTAAAAAAGAATTTATTCACGGGAAATCAAGGTGGTCTAAATACAATAATGGTCATAAAAAATGGACATTCCAAGGGTTGTGAGGGGATTAAATATGGTCTAAAATCCTCTAAATATGTATATGTGGTGTCATGTCATCATCCATGTGATGCTATGTAATAAATCTCATTATGACATGGAGGGACACATGTCATCAACACGTTATTTTCATGAGATTTAATAATATTATGGTCATAAAAATTAGACATTTCAATGGTTGTGACTTGTGAGGGGATTAAATATGGGCAAGGGTTGTGAGGGGATTAAATATGTTCTAAATATGTATATGTGTTGTCATGTTATCATCCATGTGATCCTATGAAATAAATCGCATTACGACATGGAGTGACACGTGTCGTGAACATGTTATTTTCATGATATTTAATAATGGTCATAAAAATTGGACATTTCAAAGGTTGTGAGGGGATTAAATATGGTCTAAATAAGTATATGTGGCGTCATGTCATCATCCATGTCATGTTATGTAATAAATCTCATTGTGACATGGAGTCACACATGTCGTCAACACGTTATTTTCGTGAGATTTAATAATATTATAGATTATAGATTTATTTATAAAGCAGATTATGTTGTATTTTCTCAGCTCTCCAATCTTTTTCAAAAAGACAGATAATAACTTCGTATGCTTTACATTCTCCCATTCGAATCATAGTACTTTAGTACTCATCAAAACTTCATAAATTGCTTACGAAAGTATTAAATTACTTGCATGGCTTGGACAGGCAAAGAATACGACTAAAAGAAGGAAAGAAAGTAGAAAAAGTAAAGCAAAAAATGTTATTCTAAACATAGTATAAACAAGGTATCTCCCTTCTCCAATGCATTCTTTTCAGGAGATTCTTACTAAGGAATAATGTTCTTGCCCTATCCAATACCTTTGACGTAATTGTAAGGATTTGTGTTTCTCGTCCAACCGTGTACTCGTCTTAGACCACCTTCTAAAACTATATATACCCGGATATCGGGCATCAACTTCACAAATCATAGCCAAAGATAAGAAAAATCATTTCCCCCTCCCCTAAGATACTCGAAAAAAAATCGAGTAATATAGTTTACAGAAGTTAGACATCATGGCTGCTTCACCGGCATTGATGAAATCCGACTCAATAGCTGATAACATGCCAGAAGCATTGAGGGAAAGAAGATACCTAATGAAAAAGTGTTTTTCTAGGTATTTACAACAGGGGAAACGGTTGATGAAGCTTCATCATCTTATGGACGAGCTTGAGAAATCCATTGATGATCCTGCTGACAGAACTCAAGTCTTAGAAGGCACACTAGGCTATATTTTGTGCTCGACTCAGGTATATTACATTGGAAAAATACATGATTTGATGACCAAACCAAACACATCTTTTTGTTTCCCTTCATTTTTCTCATCCTTTTAAGAGGGTGAAAGGTAACTTACAGGTATCTAAAAGTTTCTCTTGTCTGAAAATCCACAGGAGGCAGCTGTTGTTCCGCCCCATGTTGCCTTCGCAGTTAGACCAAATCCTGGCTATTGGGAATACGTTAAAGTAAATGCCAACGATCTCACAGTCGAAGGCATCAATGCAACTGAGTATCTGAAATTCAAAGAGACCATATATGATGAGAAATGGTAGTTTTATCATTGATATATTAGCAGAATTCCATTTCTTCAAAAATGGTGCTTACAACAGAATGTTTTGTGTGAACATTACAGGGCCAAGGATGATAATGCACTAGAGGTGGACTTTGGGGCACTCGAATATTCTACCCCACGCCTTGCTTTGTCTTCTTCAATAGGAAAAGGAATGAATTTTATATCAAAGTTCTTGAGTTCAAAGCTCTGGGGAGAGAAGGAGGCTGCAAAGCCTCTTGTGGAACACCTGCTGTCAATGAAGCAACACGATGATGTAAGAACCCAAACTAACATAATTGCGTGCATTTATTTAGAAATTATTGCTCATGTATTGAATTTAATCTTGGCAGAACCTAATGATCAATGAGACACTGAACACACCAGCAAAGCTGCAGGCCGCACTGGTTGTGGCTGAGGTGTTCCTTTCATCATTTCCTGCTGATACACCATTTCAGACCTTCGAGTTGAGGTACACCATTATGACTTAACACATCAGAAAAGGAATTATTTCAGTTTTTTCAAAAATAAAATAGAAGACTTAATACCAATATTTTTAACAGACTGAAGGAGTGGGGTTTTGAGAAAGGATGGGGTGATACTGCAGCAAGAGTCAAAGAGACTATGCGTTTTCTCTCCGAGGTGCTCCAGGCACCAGACCCAGTGAACGTGGAGAATTTCTTCGGCAGGCTTCCAACAATTTTCAATATTGTGATATTCTCAATACATGGTTACTTTGGTCAAGCAAATGTTCTTGGCTTGCCAGATACTGGGGGCCAGGTATGTGTCTGGTAGCTAAAACAGCCTGCAAAAGAAGCACTAAGTACATGAATAAGATTATTGTTAATGCCTTTGCAGGTGGTTTATATTTTGGATCAAGTCAGAGCATTAGAAGAGGAATTACTCATCAGAATCAAGAATCAAGGGCTTACTGTGAAGCCTCAAATTCTAGTGGTGAGTACAATCTCAAATGAAATCATAATTTCATTGAAAATTATGAAACTCGAAAGTACAGCTGATTGGTGATGTGACACACAGGTCACCAGACTAATACCAGATTCTCAAGGAACCAAGTGCAATCAGGAACTCGAATCAATTGAGGGCACCAAGTACTCTAACATTCTTCGCGTCCCATTTAGGACAGAGAATGGAATCCTCCGCCAATGGGTTTCTCGTTTTGACATATATCCATACCTAGAGAAGTTTACACAGGCATGTAGCCATTAAATTATATATTGACTTACCACTTGAGATCATTATAAATCACTCTGATTGTTAAGTACTTCTCTTTCATATGACACCAGGATGCCACAACCAAAATCCTTGAGCTTATGGAAGGAAAGCCTGACCTTATAATTGGAAATTACACTGATGGAAACCTGGTTGCGTCTCTCATGGCAAACAAACTTGGAGTAACACTGGTAAATAGCATCAAATAATACATAGTAAGAATCATATCTCTGTTTTGTTATTCATCATTTATCTTGAAAATAGGCCACCATAGCACACGCCTTAGAAAAGACGAAATATGAAGATTCAGATGTTGGCTGGAGAAAAAAGGATTCCAAGTACCACTTTTCATGTCAATTCACAGCAGATATAATAGCAATGAATTCAGCAGATTTCATCATCACGAGCACATTTCAAGAAATTGCAGGAAGGTCAGACACTGAGACTTTATACTTCATACTTAAAGTTTTGAAATTCCCAAAATATGAATTTATTTGCATTTTCCGGAGCATAAAGCAAGTTTATAAGATCTATACATAGATAGTAATCTATCTTCAATCCAAAGCTTTGTTTATAAGATTTAATCACAATTTCTGACTGTTAGCCTTAGGACAATAAATTTGAAAAATTTCTGACCAAGAAATACTATATGGAGTTGATCTTTTGCAGCAAAGAAAGACCTGGTCAGTATGAAAGCCATGCAGCATACACTCTCCCAGGACTATACAGGGTGGCTTCGGGCATCAATGTCTTTGACCCCAAATTCAATATTGCTGCACCTGGAGCAGACCAAACTGTCTACTTTCCCTCCACAGAAGCACAGAGACGATTCACACACTTCCATCCAGCGATTCAAGAATTACTGTACAATAATAAGGATAATGATGAACACATGTAAGTACAAAAGGATACAAAACCTGCATCTAAGTATCATACTTTTAAGATAACGTTCTGCTGGGACCTGGATCAGAACAGAGCACACACCGAGCCAAACACAGAAAAGAACAGAGACAGAAATGGGGTATGTTGTATTGATAATCAGAGAAATTAATCAATACAGCTCTCCTTCTTTCGAGAGGAAGGAATCTCTCCAACAAACTAACTCAATCAATATATTTTGCATGCCTTCTCTATTACAAAACTCCTATATATAATCAGATACTCAGCATCTAGCCTCTTCTACAGCTAAGAATAACAAACTTATTCCCATAATTACTAAAGTACCCTGAAACCCATAACAAACTTCCTAACAGAATTTCCCACCCATCATCAAGTTGCTAGAATCTTCTTCTTGGGCTTCCTTCGAGCATATATGATTAAGGGCCTAGGCTGACCCCTTGCAATACCCCCTTCCCAAACATGCACCTTGTCCTCAAGGTGGAAGGAGGGGAACCTGTCATCTATCTTTCCAATTTTCAGCAACTAAGTATATTTTTTCTAACAGGGGATTCCTAGAAGACAAGAAGAAACCCATCATTTTCTCCATGGCAAGGCTGGATACAGTGAAAAATATTACTGGACTGGTTGAGTGGTATGCGAGGAATGAAAGACTCAGGAGTCTGGTCAACCTTGTTGTTGTGGCAGGTTTCTTTGATCCCTCAAAATCCAAAGATAGAGAAGAAATGGCTGAAATTAAGAAGATGCACTCATTGATAGAGAATTACAAATTGAATGGCCAATTTAGATGGATTGCTGCCCAGACTGATAAGTACAGAAACGGGGAGCTGTACCGTTTCATTGCTGATACACGAGGTGCTTTTGTGCAACCTGCTTTATATGAAGCTTTTGGTCTCACAGTCATTGAAGCAATGAATTGTGGATTGCCCACTTTTGCTACAAATCAAGGGGGGCCAGCAGAGATTATCGTTGATGGTGTCTCTGGCTTTCATATTGATCCCCACAATGGAGATGTGACAAGCAACAAAATTGCTGACTTTTTCCAGAAATGTATGAATGATGATGAATACTGGAATAAGATCTCAGCAGCCAGTTTACAGAGAATCTATGAATGGTAATAGCAATATATATATATATATATATATATATATATATATATATATATATATATATATATATATATATATATATATCAAAGAAAATTTAATCCAACCAACAGAGCTATTAGTCAAATGAATCATACTTGTATGTCGCTGGTCACCGTAATCCTTTGAGACAGGGCATTTATTGTTGTTTCCTTTTCTTGTACTCTTGTGCAGCTACACATGGAAGATATATGCGAACAAACTGCTAAACATGGGATGCATGTATACCTTCTGGAAAATTCTGAACAATCAAGAGAAGCAAGCCAAGCAAAGATACATCCAAATGTTCTACAATCTTGAATACAGGAATCTGGTATGTTTCATTTCCATTAAAAATAGGTCATATCAGCTCCATACAAGATACACTTCATTAAGGTTATTTTACTAATAAAAACCTGTTGCAGGTGAAAACTGTGCCTATCCCAAGCTATGAAGTTCCAAAGCCAGCACCAAAGCCAATAGTAAGGCCGCAGCCACCCAAAAGGCATGCTGTTATTCTCTCCATATATAGTCTTTCCTTCATGCAGTAAAACGTTATTGTTCCTACATTATAATGATGGGAAGCCTAATTTTAGAACTAAAGTAATTTTCTCATCAAACTAAGTATGGAATGCCATTTTTTACAAACCTCATGTTTTTACTGTAATTACTATACTTTTCCCTCTGTTTTTCCTTTAATCATTCCAAATTTGTAACTTATGGACATAGAACTTCCCAATAATCTAGATATAACCAGACTTAATGTGTTTGGCTCATTCAGAGTAAAACCGGATAGCAGGAATGTGTGTCCTAATTCTTCTCTTTCTATTTCCAATAAAATTACCATTGACTAACACAATCTCTCATTTCCTGCACCAGGCGGCCGACAACTCGGATACAGAGGTAAACAGGGGCATAGAAATCAATGACTTGAAATACTGTTTTTTCAATTTTATACTTGACATAATGCAGTGTTATTTATGACTTTCAGGTGGTTCGGAGCTTAACTCAGCACATGGCACAGTTTGAAACTTCCCCAAGAAACACGTATGCAGCTGTATACAAAGTCATTTCGAAGCTACTCTTTATCATTGTCCTACTGCTCCTCTTTCTAATTTGTTGGACTCATTTCTCAACTTACCAAAGTCAAAAGGCATTGCCTTTCTGAATAAAGCTACCTCAATGCTATTGTAATTAAACTTTAAACATATTCAAGAATTGGATGCTTCCCGACTACAGAATCAAGCATACATGTTGTATACTAAAGAAACTAAATGTAAACATCAGAGAGATATACTTCAACTACAAATTGGAATATGAAATACTCTTTTATCTTCATATTTCTGTTAGAAAAATCTGTACATCTTTTATTTTGTATCTAATTTTCTTTTTGGCCACTCCCCTCCCATCCAAAAGCCAAAAAAGGGAAAAGAAAGAAAATTTCGCAGGGTGGGGAGTTATGGTAGAAGTAAGGTGGCTAAAATGACTATCACAAAGAAAACTGAAGTCTAAGGGAGAAATACCAAGGGCTACTTTATCAGCCTGATCCTATATTTCCACAGAATAAGAACCCTTATGCCAATACCATAAAGATACGATAATTTTACATGACTAGACAAATAAAAATACAGATAACAATCACCTGTCATTTAAACAAACGAATGAATAAATCACCCCCCCCCCCATTGATAAATTGATAAGTACACAGTTTTTTCCAAAAAAATTCTTAAAAGTAGCATACTCATAGCTTGAAGGAGTGGGATGGTCTAGAGCACAAAGGAAGTTAAATCACAACTACTCTTAAATGCAACAACTGTCATTAATAAAGAGTAGAATAATTAATGAAACGTGAGAACTAAAACGCAATCTCATACAAGAGGTATCTCCGTCCCAAATCTTCTTATGCACTATTTAAGTCAACACCAATAAATGCATGATACATATACAGGATCGCCTTGGTTTAAGTTATTCCTACCAACTTTGTTCGTAAATTGACAATTAGATCTGCAAGCATTTGGTAAGCTTTTAAAGCAAGTTAAAGAATCTCTAACTATTCTCCACTCTTAAGAGATCTTAACAAGCTAATCAATATTTAGGATAATTTATTTTAATAATTTGGGATAGAATTCATAGCATAGCATTTCCACTCACCTTCAGGTTGTATCGCTGTAATACCTTCCAAACATAGCTATAATCAGAATTAAATTTTATATAAACTGAGTTACAAGGTTGAAGAGTTTTCACACCAGCTGGATTATGTTCTTGAATATTTTGACATAAATATGAAAATTAAACACTTAACAATAACTGCTTGAAGATGAAAATCTATTTGAAACTAACTCCTCTATTGTACACGGAAATAAAACTTGCAGCCAAAAGCAGTAAAATATTTTATCTTAATCAAAGCTTTATAGATATTCTAGGCACAGCCTTGTATTTACTTTGGGCACGATATAGGATTAATAGGAACTTGTTTCAACAAATCAGTGGACAGTGACAAATAGTGAATTAGCTCATGGATTTGTGTGAAATTTTGCAAGGAAGGTTCCATACCATTGTCAACATGCAACTCCAGCCCAAAATACGTGATATTCTTTATAAATCTTCAAAACCAATTTGAGACGGAGTTACATTAACATGAACTTTGGCATGTGACTTTCCTTCCAATACTACACGAACCATTTACCATCATTGACTACCAAATGTTTCATCATGAGAAATAATCGCATTATCATCATCCTAGACTTTGTAGCATTATCTTCCACGTTTGCTCTAGTCAAATATCCACCATGGAACATTTATATTCATACTTGTCATCATATTCCCAAACTTGAAGCCAAAATTTCATCGATAAATATTTGTAACAAGATAAATGATCATTTGAAGGTTCTACAAAGTTACATTCGGACTATTTGTACTTGAGCACCCATTAAACTAATACAAAGTATTAAAGCAGGCGGCATCAGACAACATGGAAACAGACAATATGGAAATTAATTACATTCTAATATAAAAGTTGTTGTGCCAGTTAGGTTACCTAGCCAAGCAGGCTGCTAAAATCTTCAGGGATTGTACCAATACCAAAGTTAGAAATCCATCCATGAACTTTTGCATCTTCCTGCATGTACATAACAAAAAAATTCAGGTCATCAAAGAAGTGTGAGTCATCTAGCAACCACAAGCAACAATGTGTTTCTCTTACATTGAGATCAGAAATGGTTTCCAAGCAAAGGATAACATCAATAGTTGCCTCATCTGGACTACAGCCTCCCATATAGTGCCTACAGTAACACAAAGAAGCTCTACTTACCGCATTATAAAAGAAATTCCTCACCAAGTGGTATTAAAACTTTAAGAGTCATACATTATTTTAGATTAGTACTACCATATTAGTATTTCTTTTAACATGCAGTATTGAAGATAAGGTCAAACTCTGCTTGAGCTCCTGCAATCTGCCCACATTCATATAGTTCTACTTAGTTGACATATTCTTTATGCACAAGCCATAGATATATACTGACCTTGACTTAAATAAAGCTTGTCTACATCATTGCTCCAGATTATTCCAAAACCATTCTGATATGAATAGTAATATAATGAAAGGATGACCAGCAAAAATCAGAACTTCAAACCTACAGCAGAAATGTAAAGATGACACTCAAGTTTACCAACAAACATCAATGGGATTGTCATTCTTTAGAAATATTGACTCTTCACTTCAGCTCTAGCAACATTTTCATTGAATAATGTGTTATATTCAACTACAAAGCAATCCGTGCTTTAAATTAAACTTTTCAATAGTTCTGCACAAAACGATAGTATGAAGATTTTGCTCAGAAACTTGACAATATGACTCTTGAATAAATAAATCCCAAGTTGTAACCTTAAGCAATAAGATGATATAAATGCACTAGATGCCCACATATCCTCACCAGCATTCACAGAAACTTCAATCATCAGTTCTCTCTAACAGCGGAATAACCCAGTCTCCATCTTTTGTCCCTTCCACAATCTTATCAGTTTCTGCACATCTCTTCTCCTCATAAGTTGCTTTGTCAGCCTTTAACTCATTAGTATTGCGCCTACCGAGCAACATGAGGTCCATCATTTTTCTTCGGACATTATAGAACGGGTTAGATTCAATCAATTCACCTTTGCTATATGCCTCTCTAAGATAAACTGTCTGAGTGTCACCTTTAGTAGAGATATAGAATATCCCAGGGTGCTTTAACAAGAGTTCGCGAAAATTAACTTCAATCCCCAAATCCTTCCGGAAATGTACAAATCTTTCAACATCCATCATTTTCTCAACAGTCAAGCTCAGAAACTCATGTAAAATTCCCACAACTCTTTTCTCAAAACGCTCAATCCCAGCTTTAGTATGACTCCGTTTAACCTCTTTTTCATAAGGTTTCACATAAGACAATCTTTGCCAATTCTTTAGCTTGTCTTTAAAACCTTTCTCTATAACATAACCTGTAGGAAAATTTATAGGGAATGCATACTTAGTCTCAAATTCACTCAACCATTTCTCCTTGTACTCCTTTTCCCTCCACTTTTCGACACCCCCAACTCCCGAACTTTCATCCCTCTCAACTAAAGCCACAACCTCAAGATCAACCAACTTAAAATCATCGGTATACTTTCCTAGTATCGACTCTCTAAAATCCACTGGCAACCCCAACTCTCGCCTCACCAATCGTAAGGCATGTAAATGAAGCATTCCCTCTTTCGACATCATCAAAAGCTTCTTAACCCGCTTAACATTATCCAATTCACACTCCTCCATCACAACCCTCTCTTCCTCAATCAAAGCCATCATCTTTCTTGTAACACTACAACACACATTCTTCCTAACAGGGTGCGTAAAAACATCAAAAACATGCGGGTAATTACCAAGAAAATCACCCATACTAAGATTAAGACCAACTACATTATTCCAACGAGACATAATTTGAACAGAAACATAATGGCGTCTTCTCTGAGACATTAAGTCGAACAGGTGGAGTGCAATATTGAGTTTCCTGATTTGGGATGTCAGTAAATCAAGTTTAAGGTCCCGGGTTCGACTTTCTAACCGCGTTTGAGCAGTATTCGCGGGTTTTTTCCATCTTCTTTGAATGAAGTGATTAAATGGGCCAAATTGGATTGGCGATTCAGGTAATTGGTGTAAATAAACTGGGTTTTTTCGAAGATATTTGAAGAGTAATGCTCTCATGGCGTAAGAGAAGAGAGAATTAAGGAAGTGGGTGTAAGGTGGTGGTGGTGGTGGTCGCCAGCATAGGGGGAAGTTGCTGATGGACTTGCTGTAGATGCTGGCAAGGGTGGCAATAATCTATATCAATTATATTTCAACCCCGCGCTTTTAAGTTTATTTCCGATTAAAACTTATTTTTATAAATTAAGGGTCTGTTCACGTTTAAACTGAATTGATCGGAGCTGAACTAAAATGAACCGATTGGAGTTAAACTGAACTGAGCTGAACTGAACTAAAATGAATGTTTTATGAGAGAGGAAAATTAGGAATTCAACTGAACTGAACTGATTGGAGTTGAACTGAATTGAACTGAAATGATTGAAGCTGAACTGAACTGAAATTAAGTAAATGTGAACAGGCCCTAACAAACTGTTAGTTGAGACGAACACTACAAGAGGGGGGGTGAATTGTAGGTGAGTTCCTAGTGACTACTTTTTAAATATAAAACAGAATAAAATAGGAACTTCAATGCACACAAGATTTTACGAGGAAACCTTCTAGTGCCCAACTAGAAGTAAAACCTTGACCCTACCTTAGGGATTTCGAACACAAACAATTTCACTATAATAAGGCAAACACCAAGTTACAACCTATTATAATCAACAAACTTGCTACAGAATAGGACTCTATTCTACCCAGTCTAAGTCCCACACTTAGACTCTCCCTCGTACTCCCTAAGTACGGGCTTTCCAACTTCTCAACAGAAGCTCTCTCTCTCTGTATGCAAAGATAAAAAAATCACTCACACCCAAATAACCCAAACCAATTACAAGTACAAACACCTAGTATATGATAGGCAAGCTATGCATGAAACCCGAAACTAATATGACAAGATGATAAGCTTGGCAAACTTACACATTTATAGCTCTGTAAATTCTTCACGCATAAACTCACAAAAAAAAAACCTAAACTCCTTTTCTTCTCTACTATTTATACAAGTATTACTTGTATAGAAAGTAGGTTTTCTTAAAGATAAATAAGTTAAACTTAACTTATCTTTTCACACGGTTTTTATGTAAATCATTAGAAGAAAATCTTTTCCAAAAAAAATAAGATAGAAAGATTGAGTTAAAAAGCATAATATCTTTTTAACAAACTGATTTTAAGAAATAATAATTTAAAGAAAATCTTTTTCGAATTCTATCTTTTATCTTTTCCGATTTTAATTTATTTGCCAAGCTAACTTGCCACGCTCCTAATAGACTTCATGCATATCCTACTTAACATATTTAACAATGAATTTAGGAGATAAAATCTTAACTAAGACATTGCTGCGTTGTGCTCTTGTACTGGTAGGATTACTTGCGCTCCACGCTTACTAAGTTCCACCAAAGATCTTAGCCAGCCATCTTCAAGTTCCTGTGAAGGAACGTTCCTGTTAGGGAACTCAGTTCCTGTGAGGGAATCTTCTTCTGTTTCGAATAACCTTCTTAAATAAAGAACTTCTTCAAGTCTTCTTAGTTTCAGTTACTTCTTCCATCTCCAAGATCAATTTCACCTAAACTAAACAAACACTTGAAAAACATTTATTAAATGAGTTTGTTGTAGTTTAAGTTCTTCATCATCAAAACCTTTAAACATCAACAATTTCCCCCTTTTTGACGATGACAAATTTAAGCAAACTCTTAGAGAAGATTAAAACAAAATAGAAGGACGTATTTTTGTATTTTTGATTTATAAAGAAAAAGTAAACACGCAACTGAATTAAAAACAAAAACTAAAAGCAAAAATAGACAAAAATAACTAAGATAGAAGTAAACTAATCTAACAGCATCATATCAGAAGAAAGTTCTGATACTTTATCAACTGGAACCCAGAACAACTTCAGCCTCCATGTTTGCTTCTTCTTTTCCCCCTTTCGGCATTATCAAAAAGTCATGCTTTTTCAAGTTTATTAAGCATCTACCTACGGCCCCACAAGCAATTCATCGAGTGTGGGAAACTAAAGGCAGCGCTGCTAAACAACCTCAAGTAAGTTCTACCCTACAACATAAGTGTTCAAAATACACATAAACACACAAGTATAAGCAGAGTTCCAACTTTTCATTAAAAACCAAAAGATTTATCATCCGGTTGAACAATTTAGAAAAATTTACAACCAAAATTAATTGTTCAAATACTTAAAGACAAAAATTAAAATTGTTCATGACTGAAACAGAGAAAATAGGCTAGGCTGAATATGAAATAGGGCAGGCTAGGTTTCAAGGAACTCTAGAATTTTCTTGAAGTCCTCCTTTGTCTGATGTGAAGAGGCCTCCAACCTTTCTTCAATACCCTTGAGTTTCACCAGGAACTCCTCCTTCTGTTCCTGTAGAGCCTTGTTCAGTGCGTGCTCTTGAAACTCCTTTTGCTCTTAAAGTTCCTTGTTCTGTTTTAGCACCATCTTCTTGAAATCCTTTAACTCCTTCCCCTGCTCCTGTACCAACTTTTCCAGAGTCAGCACATGAAGCTTTCCAGCAGAATCCTTCATTTGACTCTCAACCCTTTCCATTCTGTCAACCAGTTCAGCAACTTGCCCATTGAGGATATTTTCCTCAACATCCAACTCTAGTGGCTGTTCCATACTAGTTTGAGGAACACCATTGGCAGAAATCCTCCTGCTCTTTCTCACAGGCTGCTCAGACACAGCCTTTTCTTTCCTCTTCCCTGTCACTTTCTCTTTCTTTTTCTCTCCCTTCTCTAATTTTTGAATTTTTCCTTGTACCACTTCCAAACTTAACCCAGCCAAAGTTTCCTCATTAATCACATTTTCTGGCTTTTCATCCAGAGCCCCATATTTACCCTTCAGAACTACTCCAGCATTTTCAAATATAGTGGACAAAATGGCACCATACCCTACTTTTGTCCTACTAGGAACACAGTGTGCTAAGTGCTGGTACATTAAAGAAGGAAAATTGACCTTGATTTTCTTAGAAATACAGAAAATCACTGCCATATCCAGCAAACATGCTTCCCCCTTTTTAGCAGTTCTGGGCAGAATAGTCTTCTTTACCAAATTAAACAACAGCTTGTTTAAGGGGCTAAGATCATTATGACTCATGACCTTCTTCCCTCTATGACCACCTAACGCCTCAACAATATCACCAGTCAAATAGCTACCTACATTGACACTTCCCTTTCCCTTAATATAGGTGTCATACCCTTCAGTAGGAGTTTTCAGAATTTTACCTAGGGTTTCAATGTTCAATTCGATTTTTACCCCATTGACAACACTTGAAATTGTCCCTAATTTTGCTTGAAAATTTTGGCAAAATTCAGTCATAGCTACAGGGTACATATAGTTTGCTGAAACTCTTGACAACAGAAATTCCCAACCTTGGAACTTCATTAAATCAAGAAATTCTAGAAATCTTGCTTTCCTACACCAAACAACATCAATGCGATGACCAACTACATACCTTCCAGCCTGTGACTCAAGTTCCGTTTGATCAGTCACTTCCTCTTCTTATTCTTCCTTTTCAGATTCTTCCTTTTCTGAATTGTTTTCCTCCTCTTTATCTTCTTCCTCTCCCTCACTCATCTCTTCTTCTTCTTTGTTCTCCTCTGTTGTCTCTTCTGGGTTTTTCCCTTGAGCAAACTCGTCGACTTCCTCAATTTGCTCTTCAAGAGACTTTTCACTTTGTTTTTTTTCTTTCCACTCTTTTAGTTGTTGAAGAACGTTTGAGACAGAGGAATCCCCTTGATCGCTTTTACTTTATACTTCTTTTGGTTTTGGGGGAGATTTTCTAGGGTTTTCAGACGATTTGTATGAGGTGGAGGATGATTTGTAGTTTACCATGGCTAAGGGAGATGTTTCTTCTTGAATTGTGTTTTCAGAGTGTTGTGATTCTTCTGAGGAGATAAATTCAGCAATGATCACCATTGATGCTTTAGGAAAGATTTTAAAAAGATTTAAAAAAATTTACTGGAAAGGGATTAATTTGATGTGACAGTGAGGTGAAAGAAGTGGGTGAAATTAGCTTTTATAATAAATGAAGCGGTGTAAGGGAATTTAGGAAGTTTCACTGTTCAGTCATTAATTGAACAAATTCAATTAATTTTTCAAATTTTAAAAACTAGATGAATCTTTCAAAAACTTAACTTTCCAAATTCAATGAAGTTTCTATAAAACACAATTGGAACACGCTTTCTAAATATGTGCAATGTGCAAATTTAATAGCTTATACCATTGAGCAATTTAATGAACCTTTGGTAGTTAACAACGGTGACACTTTAGCTATGTTTATCACACCAAGGTTGTGGTAGAAGCTCTTTTTGCTTTATTTACATTATTTTTGACTTTGCCATATCTTGGAACTTCAGAGGCTAGTACTTCAGCTTGATCATCCCAAGTTCCAGTCTCAATTTCTCAAATCTTTCTCTATTCAAGGGCTTGGTTAGAATATCTGCAATTTGATTTTCAGTTTGACAAAATTCTAACTTTATATTCCCTTGCTCCACATTATCTTTTAGAAAGTGATGCCTAATGTGGATGTGTTTTACCTTTGAGTGTTGAACTGGATCCTTAGAAATACATATAGCACTAGTATTATCACAGTAAATAGGTACACATTCAAAAATAATACCAAAATCTCTGACCTGTTGTTTTATCCATAGAACTTGAGAGCAACATGCTGCTGCTGCCACATATTCAGCTTCTGCTGTAGATAAAGCAACTGTGTTTTTCTTCTTGGAACCCCAAGAAACTAAACAAGGACCTAAAAATTGTACCACACCTCAAGTGCTTTTTCTATTAACCAGATCACCTGCATAGTCAGCATCAGTAAAACTATTTAAATCAAAAGAATCACTTCTGGGATTGAAGAGACTCAAATCATTAGTTCCTTTCAAGTATCTTAGAATTCTTTTTACTGTTGTCAGGTGAGACTCCTTTGGATTTGCTTGGAACCTTGCACACAGACCTACACTAAAAGATATGTCAGGTCTACTAGCTGTTAAGTAAAGTAGTGATCCTATCATACCTCGATACATAGATTGATCAATGCAAGTTACAGATGAATCTTCATCTAATCTAGTAGAAATTCCCATAGGAGTATTATTTGTTTTGGCATTTTCCAACTTGTATTTCTTGATCAGTTCCTGAATATATTTTTGCTGATGAATCATGATTCC